CTCCATGGATCGCGGATCGCTACCAACAAAGAGGCTTAATGATTGCATTGCTGTCAATTGTGGGACTTACTGGGTATGTTCTGCTTGCTACGTGTACATCTGTTATCCCTCGATATATCGGTGTATGGATGGCCGCCAGTGGTGTCTTTCCGTGCATCGCCAATATCCTGCCCTGGGTTCTTAGTAAGTTACTTCCCTACACTTAATAAAAAAACATAACCACATATGCTAACATAGAATTCGTCTTCACCTCGGTAGACAACCAAGGGTCCGATACTCGCCGTGGTATGGGAATCATAATCCTGAATCTTGTTGGCCAGTGCGGTCCACTCTTAGGAAGTAACATATTTCCTACCTCGGACGGCCCGTTGTATGTTCGAGGCCAGTCCATCTGCGCAGCCTTTATGGGTCTCAATTGCTTCCTCGCACTGCTATTGCGCACGGTACTGGCGAGGCAGAACCGGCAGCTTGATAGGAAATACGGAACACTTGCTCAGCGCGCCCAACAGCGGGTGGAAACAGAACAGTTAGTTGTTGCAGAGGAGAATTATGGACCTGATTATAGATTTGTACTTTGAAGATGTGTATATATATAGTTATATATCGATGCTTGAAGTGAGAATAGACTAAATCTTGTCGGCGTAAGTGGATTCCACTTAAATAAGCTATGCCAAGCTTTCTTATCGCCCCACCGGCAATTCTTTAAATTGACCTCATCCTTTCAGTATCCTATTAAATAAACCTTTCGCTGCCGTGCTGCTTTTCACATCCAGCAACGAGTAATCTCTTGTTGCAAATACTGCTGATATGCAAATGTGATCTCTACCTTTGGTATACCCACTGCCAATACTTGCGAGAGTACTGTATTCAATTTCAGTTCAAACCTTCATCACTCTCAATTTCTTGATTCCCATCTCAACCTCTGGCTGTTAGTCCTTCACTGAACTTAGTCACTACATATTTGAATAACATTTTGGTCACGTATCAGTTTCTCCGTTTCTCAGGTATGGGTGAATGTGCAGCCAGGTCGACGTTGGGCCACTGCTGCAATTCCTTGAAGAGGAGGTTCACTGCCTCAGCATAGCTGTGAAAGCTTTCCACTCTGTTTGGCAGTAACACGGGCAAATTTGGTAGCTCAAAATGTTTTTGACTCGTCAGCAAGGCATTGTAGAAAGAGAATTTCTGAATAGGAATGAGATGTGAGTGGATTGTATTGTATCCTGACGAGATTTTTTTTTATTCCGATAGTGGAATGGGTGATTGACTTGAAGTGAATGGCTTCATTTATCTCTGTTCTTTTCAGCCGGACTTTTTGTCCTACTTACCAGCTACCTCTTTCAAGGGAGCAAAGGATCTTCTGGTTTCTCTGGCTGTCTCTGACTTTCATATAACACCCATCTAGCCATTCTGAGAATCCCTTCTCCTGCCTTCTCCCTCATTCTCTCCTCTTAGTTCTTGGTTTTACCCTGCCTGCTCCCTGCTTCTCTCCTCCTCTCATCTTTTCCCTCCTTCTCCCTCTTGCTTTCGATACTCTCTTTATTCTTCAAGAAGTCCACCACTTTTTCAGCCGGCTGGCTCTGGCCACTGGAACCTTTTTTCTGTGGCCGGCACGTATTCAGGAGACAGATCTTTTCTCCCTCAGTCCTCTGTGCTTGGGATCCACCCAGCCGATCTATTCCTTCGCCAGAATTGAATCTTTCGATCTCTATTCTTTGCCAATTCTCTACAAAAGTGAGAACTGATACCAATTTCATCATCTTCAACCAAATGTCCCTAATCCTCTTCGCCCCGGAAATAGTTTATTTGGTTCGTTTGAAGATTTCATCCACATGAACGCTATGGCCAAGCAGGCGGCCAGTCCCGACGGGAGTACCATAAACAACATGAACGCCCCAAGCACCAACGAGGGCTTAGGTGGTAGTGAGAATACGATTATTGAGATTGCGAAAGATGGGGATCTAGTAGTGAAAGTGATCGAATACGGCCTCGTGCCCAGTTCTGATACAACTACTAAAGCGCGCGGTCACCTGTGGAAACCGACAAAGTCTGCATCGTTCCAAGTGAGCAAGCAGGTCTAAACTGGCCGAGCACAGTGATGTCTTGGAGAAAATGCTCTTTGGTGGGTGGGAGGAGGCAAATCGAAAGATGATCACATTGAAAGAAGATAATATCACAAGGATGGAGTTGTGGTTTCGGATAATGCATGCTATATCTCTTCCGCCCGCCTGGAGAAAATTTAAATCCCTGAGATGTGCCATGTCATTTTTGGCTTGCGACAAGTATGCAATAGAGCGCGATGAAATGGTACCGTGGTTTCAGAAGTGGTGGGATGCACTATCAAGCGATACAATGTCGAATTTAGACCTCTGTGATATACTCTTACCCTGTTATCATTTTCTCTGCGCGCAGGGATTCAAGTGCTGACAAGGAAGCTGGTGTACGAGTCTCGGAACGCTATCTTCGAAACCAACCCAATCAGAGCTCACCAGACGTACCTGTGCCTGCCAAGCAGCATTATCGGTAAGTTTTGTGCCATGTTCACAAGCCATCGGGATTTTGTAGCCATTAAGACCCCTCCTGATATCATGGTCAGAAAATCCCGAACAAAAAGAGAGGACAAATACGAACATTATCCACGACCACATATGTTCCCCCATCGACGAGCTTGCCTCTAGTGTCAATTTCAAGTGCCAAAAGCGAGTAGCATTCAATTACATCAACGAGTTGCGTATGTTCCACGCTTCCCCCCCTTTTACCATCTTTCCGCCGTGGGAGCATCCGCGACATTCTTCAGTGCTTTGAGAAATTTGAAGAGTCATGAGTGAAAGCCGAGAAAGGTTGTGATGCGCACCCTGTTTGTGCCATCTGCTGTTACGACTGTGGAATTACCGTGCAGAGTACATGCGTTGCGCCTGAAAATCACTTCGATGAACTGGAACTTAGCTACAGGCGGATTGAAATAAATGGGGCTGATAGGAGAGAACGAAGCTATGATTATTCGTGCCGGGTCCCTGACATGCGCCATCGAATTCGGAAATGGCAAACAAAACGTAATGTTCCAATACGGGACAGCTTGAGTACAGGGGATAGTTCTACCCTGAAATAGACCCCGTTGCCTATCTGTTTTGTCATCCTCTTTTCTAGTCGCTCGTTGAGAGTTTATCTTTGTCATGGATTTTCTAGAAGCCCTTGATTCAGCTGGATGGTTCTTAATGCGCCGTTTGCCTTCGGTTTCGGCCCTGCTTTGCCTCGTCTTCATTTCCTTTTCTCACTAGTTTTGTTTTCTTCCGGTTGCCAATAGCCAATTCCACCCGTATTCTACGAGTGGATTGGCCAGCAACTGTTTTCTTGTGGATTTGCTGCAAGTTCCTGATGCAGGGTAGGGTGGATCGTGCTTTAATGCCCCTTTTGCTTTCCGCCCTGGCGTTGTTTTTCATATTTTTTATTTTTTATTTTGTACCTCATTTGGTTTTACTCGCACTGGCGATAATCACATACGAACCTCCACGTGGTATACTACCAATGAGGCCAGTAAATATGCTCTTTGAGTTTGATATTGTCCAATTGAGTTGTATTTGTGTCTAGTTAAAACAGCACGCCGCTTGGGGAACGAAAACACGGGCAAGCATCATCATGACGACATTTGTATACCCTCCGCCACCAGCTGATGTATTTTGCCACGATATACTTTCCTGCACTCCCTTTATATCCCTTTCTAGTAGCTTTTAAGGGAGAATCTTTTATTTGCAAAGAACCGTTAAAACACCTTGATTTGGGTAGCGCCTGCATCTACTCTCCCGTTACAAATCCTCTAGCCAAGTTTACGTGTAACACAGTTCAAAATGGTTAGGATTTCCGAGGCTATCAAGGAGGACCACCGGTTGCTGCGGGAATATCATGATAAGATCATCAATGCGGGAGATGAGGAAACGGGAACCCGTTGGGGTAACCAGGTAATTCTGCCAGCTATGCGCAAAGAGCTGAAGTTTCTAATAATATCTCCTTTATGATAACAGTTCACGTGGGAACTCGCCCGTTATACAGTAGCGGAAGAGCTTGTTGTCAATCCAGCTCTTGAAAGCTATATGGACCATGGGAAGATCATGGCGGACAAAGATAGAAGAGAGCAACAGGAGGTCCGTCCTCACTGACCCTACTCACATATCTCTTTGACCTAGCCCAAAGAGGTGCCATCGAAAAAGGGAAATCTTGTGCTTATATCGTTAACTGTTGCCAAAACTCGATGGAACAGATCAAGGAACAATTGTACAAGTTCCAGAACATGTCCGCTCAGGACCCAGAGTTTCGCCCGACGCTGGACGGCATCATGGAACGTTTGAATAAACATATTCACGAAGAAGAGGAGGAGGATCTAGCGTCCTTGGAGTCTGTCATTCAGCTAGATGAGTCTGAATCTTTGGCAAAGAAATTCAAGAGGACCAAAATGTTCGTGCCAACCCGCGCTCACCCGCATGCTCCTAAAATTACGACGTTTGCGTCCGTTGTGAGCTTTTTGGAAGCTCCTCTCGACAAGCTTGAGGATATGCTGAGGCGCTTTCCCGAGGAGGAGGATGAGTAGTAGTTTCAGTGGCCTTGAGAGGGTGCAAATGGCTCCTTCTGACTCTTGGTTTCGTTTTTGTGGAACGCATTGTTGCATAATTTTTATCATTTTTTCTCTTCATTTTGAAACGCAGATCAATCAACGAAAAGAAAAGAGAAAGAAAAAAAATCTGCCTTTGCTATGGGAAGGGTGGGATAATAGTTGTACATGCTCAGCTATTCGTTAATTATCGAAAACATTTAATGCTAAATTTGCACCGATTGTACTCAACATCTGTAACGTTACGTACTGGTATAACATATTTATTCTTTCACTTTATGCAATGTGGGGCTGGGTTCATATGTGCTTTCCACTCCGCCGTTGTTAAATGACAAAAGCAGCTGGGACTCCATCAGCAACCTATTTAGTAAATATATCGTCTGTACGCAGCGGAGAGTGGGAGAATTAGTCATCTTGCCTACCGGAAGGCGGTGTGAATACATAGCCAATAGGAAATAAGGTAATCAAGGGGAGTATTTTGCCACGTTAGTAATCTTTTGGCTTTGTTGAAGAATAAATGCAATCTTTCCATTCGCAATCAGCTTCTTCCTGTTTCTCGCCAAATGGATACTTTTTAATGGAATACCCTGCGCAGTTTTACCATTCAACATATACATCGCTGTCATGAATCAGCAGCTGCTTGCCTGCGCGGGCTGCCGGCTTGCGCAGGCTCAATCACCCGCCGCAACCGTCGTCCGCCAATCCCGCCGAGCACTCTCTATAGCCATCGCTTCCTCTGTATCCTCCCAATACTATGCCTCACATTCAATCCTCCCAAAACTCCCGTTTCTGCACCCATATGTATATCGCCCGAATACTCGATGTAACCAAGCATCTCGAAAATCCAGTCTGTTCCCGGCTCCTAAGCAACTCTCTGCGTTCTCAACGACACACCCTAAACAGGCGACGAGGGTGGTATTGAATCCGCGGACTGATGACGAGGGAAAGCCTCAGATGATTGATATCTCTCCCCGTGCAGCGCAGGTATGGAGCTTTCTCTTTTTTATCTTTTCTTTTTTCTTCGTGTTGTGAACCATAAACCCGCGATAGACTGGAACGTAGGTTCCTGGCTCAACCCACTGCGCTCCTTTTTTGTTAGCATGGGAGCGAATGCGATAGGCCCACCGGTATTTAATATGTGGTGAAGAGGAAACAAGCACATACGACCATAGGGAGTGGAAAGCAGGGCTTCCCGTCCGCTCAGCCGTACTTAAGCCACTCGCCGGCCGGTTAGTAGTTGGGTGGGTGACCACCAGCGAATCCCGGCTGTTGTATGTTTTTTGACGCTTTTCTTTTTTCTTTCTTTTTTCTTTTTTCTTTCTTTTTTCTTTTTTCTTTCTTTTTTCTTTTTTCTTTCTTTCTTTTTTTTTTTTTTTTAAAAAAAAAAAAAAAATACTTGCTTAGACGCGTTTCGGTAGATACCTTTCTTACCTTTGTATAAAATTGCTAACGTACTTTAATCCACCAGCGTTTACGGGAAATTACCGATCCTTCGTCAAAAAAACCCACTCTCCCAGTGGTCCCGGAAGGGGTTGTACAAGATCATCTCCGCGTCACTGTATCGAGTGGGGGGTGTCATGGTTTCCAGTACCTGATGACCCTCGATTCCGCATCCAACATCGACCCCGAGGAGGATACAATTTTTGAAGCGGAGTCAGAGGCTTCAGGAGAATCATCACCGGATGGAAAGGCTCTTGGTGAAGCCAAAGTTGTTATGGATTCGGCAACATTGGAGCTTCTAAGTGGCAGCACGGTTGACTATACAATGGAACTGATAGGAAGCCAGTTTAAAATTACCAACAACCCCAGGGCGACCAGTAGCTGCGGTTGTGGAACCAGTTTCGACGTACCAGCGTAACCCTCTGACGCTGAGATCTTTAGATATATAAAGAACATATGTTGCCCGTCGAAGGGCGCCGGAGTCCGTTTTACATATGTTGCACGGTTATCTCCGCTCATTTGTTTGCTTTGGAGTCCCTAGAGCGGCGTTCCCCCATCAGTATTTACGGTGATATTTTGGCGATTTACGTTCAAATAACTAAGAGATAATATCTTTGGTCCCTTACCGCATTTCTGTCGTCATTCACCCAATCATGCAATTTTGATATTCCCTGCCTTTACCTGTCCTCCGATTCCACTATTTCACCTACCCAATCTAGCTGACTGGCAATATGGTAATTTCTACTTCCATATTCAATTTCCGCTAGGCAGCTAAATGCACTGCTTGAGTTAATATTCCCCGACATATTCATGGAGATAAGAAGTGCCCTGGTCTTCTCCGCCACTTGGCTTCACTGCCCCTTATTCCTCTATCCCCATTCATAGTAGCGGCACCCATGCGTGTGCATATCAAGATCGTATATATATCTATCCTTATCTTCTTCTACTTCGGTCTCCATCTCTTTCCCCTTTATCCAAGTCAGAATCCTTTGCCTTCTGTATCGTCCTATTTTATATTTTATATTATCTACTATCTCATTTTTATATGTGGCTGTACTACCTTTCGACTTCCAGCGTCGAATACTTACGAACTATCTTTATTACATATCATCTTCTCTAGCAGGAATGCGCCTTATCACGGTATATTTCGAATCTTTCCCTTAACGCTCGTGTACCAGTTTTCGCGAGGGACAAATGACATCATTGTCTATACTGTTCTCACTGTCAACAGAAAAGTTGGAGAATAATTATGTCTGGCTAAAAAGCTTAGTCGACATACGGCGGAGAGGGTAGTTCTCGCTATTCTCACCATTTCTCGCCATTCTTGTCACTGAAAGCTAATATTACAATCCTCCTCCAAGGGCGTGACCAGGAGCATGGGCAAAAGATTTCGCTTTCCCCGACGAACTCCAATAAGAAATGATTAGGCTCCGAATTTACTACCCCCCGACGAATATATGAGGTAATGTTAGTTTCGCAGTGCCATCTGTATGTACTCTTTCGTACATTCTCTAGGGTGAAGAATGCTTGACCGAGTCCATCAAATTCTTCTAGAGAACATGAACTTGCTCTCTAGTACACTTGATACATCATTGGAGACCCAGCTAACTTTACCTAGGCTACCTAAATATCTTCTATGTTTGATGCTTAACTCCCTCCTCAATGTTGTTAGATAGCTTAACTGCTTCACGGAATGCGAAAATGTCATCTCCTCTCGCGTCTGGGGACAACGATCTCCCGTTAGCGTTAACCAACAGGGTAGAGGAATGGGGGTTGACTACCTTGTTGGAATCTGTCCGCCAACGTAGCTTCCGCGCCTGAGGAGCTGTCCTAGCGTCTACGTTGCCTTCTAGCTAGCGAACACGCAAAACCCCCTATCCACAAATAACATCCGCTCCATTGGCTCTACCAGGAGCTCGATGATGAGAACTATTCATGGCACGCCTTTGATATCCTCTTCGCGCCTTGCTTCACGATACGCCAACACAGCTTTCGGACCAGCGGTGGCGACCCTAGTCTCAAAGTTACTATCATTCTTGACGGGACAAAAAGTTCCTTTCACTTCCGTTGGTCTCTTAGGAACGCACCCTTATATATGTACTGTCTCCATATGGGACTTATTTATACTGCTGATGGACCCATCTTTTCGCGTTTGGTGGCGAAGAGCATGTGAGGCTCCGAATGGCCACATCTCTAGGATTCTTCTAACTCCGCATGGAACGCTTGCTCTCTCAGTAGCTTGCTATTTATTCCATAAAAGCGTCCTCTCCTAGTCCCCGGCTTCAACGTTATATGAATTTTTCTTATGTTCAATAGGACAAGTTTCCACGATAAAAAAAAAAATCCCCTACGAAGTTTCTCGCAGAACAAAGCAATCAAGGCAATGAAAATCTACTTCGGCGAAAGGGAATTTCGAGATAGATCATCTTCTGGCAGGGCCATCCGTACAATTGGTGAGCTAAGGCGGTTCACCACGCAATCAGCCCAGTCAATTCTCAAGGATGAGCTACCTCAGCGCAAACTGTCACCCTTGCATAAGCTGTACCCTAACAGATATTGACTTATGAAATTGCTACTCTACTCTCATTCCGATCTACCTGATGGAAGTTTTATTTCAGATACCAAGGCATGGAGGGAATGTTAGGGGCCTAAGATGCCATAAAGGTAGTATGTCTCCCGCTTCTTTATGAGGCCCCGGAGAGAGTACAACCCAATATTGATCTATGAAAAGTTACTTTACGCTGGATACCAAGACCGCGAGGCTCGCTTCTGGACAAGGGAAATTAAGCCAACTGTCTAAAAAGATACATCCAGCACATCGATAATTAGTCATCTCAGGTTTGAAGATGAACGGGTGCGATGTACGATACATAAGCTGGACAAGGAAGATAATTGGCATCCCATCCTGTTCCAATCCCGCCGCCTGAAGTCACCGGGGCCACAAAATAGATTTGGATAGCCATCAGAGATATCTCCATTCGATATCGCAAACTATACCCTGCAAGTAGTGAGGAATCAACTCCAACTCACGAGGTTAAGAACTAGGAACTTCGGAATCTGGTGTTCAAGTTCAGAACCAAGTGTCAACAATATTGGACCACCGAACTGGAATGCCTCGGCCTGGTGAGGGCCTCAATCCACTGTCCTCAATACTTTGATAACAACCCTTTCACTGTGATCACAGATCGTTGTTTCTTGATCAATGGCGTGGAATCAAAAGGGACCACTCACAGGAATAATTGATTAAATAACTGGGGCTTATTCCTTGGGCAACTCGTGGGCCGTATGATCATTAATTACAAGAAGGGTACGCAACACATCAATGCCGACACCCTATCCAGGCTTGAAATGGCGTCCGCGGTGACCTACCCTATGTCCGACTTCTAGCTAGTTAACAAATACCACACTCGTCTGGTGGCTGAGTCACTGCTTCTCGTGCCGCAGCCGTTTTTGGCTGCGGTGCCTGATTCTAGTGGCTCTACAAGCATACTTCAACAGGAGCAGACTGTCTATATCTTCATCGTTTGTGTTCAGATAACGGTGTCGATACCTCATCAGTATTTCGGCTCCCTACCTCACGGCGCCGATTTTAACACCACAAGCTCCTATCAGGGAAAAATGCGAGCCCCAAATAACAATTGCGAAAATTGATTTGTATCATACTTCTCCTACCCCTAATTTCAAACAGCGGCACACTGACTATCAATAACCTCTCTCACTCTTTAACGACAACTTTTTCCTCGAGTTCATGAAAGCCCTGAACCATTCTCGGAACGTATCAATGAAAAGATATTTCAAGGTTCCAAAACTTGGAAGAATCCGGCTTTGCGTGTCTATTTTATAGGCTCAGACCAATTGGCCAGACTGCGGAAACCGTTATTCAAGCGCCTGTGGTGAACAAGACGTGTTTTCCCAATGACACAATGTCTGTAAGATAGTACATGCCGACGGCCTTTACATCCTCGCCGCAGAAAAAGAAAACCGCCATTCCAATCTTACTCCGGTTTCTCTTGTTATTTGGAGCCTCTAATGTTAGAGCTCATTACCCACTAAATCACCATTTATTTCAGACACTTAATATCCGTTACTGGAAGGGTCGTCCTTACAGGGATGTCTATCGAGTCCACAAACCTTTTTTAGCTTCAATTTTAGTCATTTAGAACTAATAAAATATTGATCACAGCCGACAAGATACCCCCATCCTTGAACTTGGACATTCGAGAAGAAATTTGCATACATTCCCTTGGGGAATGAACGAGCAAATCCTACCCAAAATGGCCCTATTCTCCTATTCATCTAGTCAGAGATCTCTATTACACTGATTGTTTAGCATTCATCTGTCACTGCTTCTTTTACAAATCAATTCTCTTCTCCCATTGTGTCAATTGCTTGGAGATGCCTTTCGGAGTGGGTGGCTTTGATGCGCGCCTGGCCGCGCCACAACATACCATACCTCACACCTCCCACAGTCAAAGGCCTAAGAGCAAATGCTAGTACCTTTGAGATCACAGGCTTAGTTTAATCTAACTTGTCAATCCTGGAAGGTCTCCTGCGATTATTGCCCCTGAAGATCCTGAAGGTACACGTAAGGCGAAGAGGGGTGGCCACTCATCGTGTCATCTGGAAAAATTTGAGTTTGACCTTTAGTGGTCATTGAATGTTACTGGCAATCGACCGATTAACTAACGACTCTCTTCACTGAAGACCTGTATACTACGGGAGAGCCCTCAAAATGGATGATAGGGAACTTCCGCAAAGGTCATGTTCTTTGCTTCACAGCCGTCAGGAGAGTTCGAAGCGTTGAAATCCGCACAGTGGCCACCGCAGCTATCACCAAGGACGCAAAGTGCAGGAGTCACTGGGCAATCAAGCACCCGAAAGTACGTACTTGGACACCACTTTTCCTTTGTTAACGCGCATAATATTATTTCCTCCATTATTAAATTCCCTAACTTCCTAAGAGAATTCATAGCCTATGTGGATGGTAGTAAAGAATGTATGGGAGCTGCAATTCATCAGAAGGATCATCCAGGAAAAGAACGCCCTGTTGTTTTTCTTTCCCTCACTCTAAAAGGTGGTGTAAAAAAAAAAAAAAAAAAAAAGGATCAACTGAATTAAAGACAGCAGCCTTAGTCTGTGGAGTGCGATAGACATGAAAACAGGCGAAGTCTGGATCAGGTATAATATTATGCGCGTTTACAAAGGAGAAGTGGTGTCCGAGATCGGCTACTCGTTTTTTGAATCGGAGAATTCCTCCGAGTTTGCTATCACCTCTAACCTATCACCACTGAAGGAATTTTGATGGAATTAAGTTTTTTATGTTCTATATATCTCCGTCACTCCATCCAAAGACTTCATCAGTGATACGTGAGAAGAGCAGGTCTAAAAACGCATCATTTCAAGTCTATACAACTCCCGACACTCGTGAACGGCAATTCAATGACAGATGACGCACTTTTGAAGAATTATCTGCATATTCCACTCTTTCAAAACTAGGAGTTGCGAACTTGTGCGGAATGTGATCGGATGCTACATACACGGATACGTTGCTAATCTGAAAGAAATGGAAGCTAGACAATCTAGCAGCCCTGGAGGACCCAAACCAAACATGAAGCTAAGAAGCTTCGTATTTTGCACAGTTCTAATAAAATTATGCAGAAAACTTTCAACTCTGACAGGACACTCTGGTTAACAAGGAATATATTCAGCAGTGTCTCACCCAGATGATATCATCAAAGGATGATGTGAATCCCTCACACTCAGCTTTACAGTCTGTTAACTCGTTGCTCATGAAGATACCTTGATCCAGAAGCTGGCCCTTCGACTGAATCCTGGAAAGAGGCCTGAATATACTCCCACAGGGTGCCTAGGGGGAGTAGCAAGCCAATCCTTTGTGACAAACCTGGTTGAAAGGTTCAGAAACAGGTATCCCAAGCTTTTTTGGCGACAATATACGCTCAATATTATTTCTTCTTCAAGGCGTCCACCAATTTATATGTTCAAATAAATGCCATAATGATATCTTCATCAAAGAGGGGAAAAGAGGAGTGAGTTTGAAAGAAGGAACCCGAAGGTTTTCCAATATGCACCCATGAATACCAAGATAACGGAATTATGAAAGACTGGAAACCCCAAATCAAAGGACCAGTACGGAATACCCAGGGAGATCTTAAGTGCAATAATGGTGACAAGCATTTTGCATGCTCGCGCTAGGTGGCCAAAAACCTGCAATGTTATCGAAGATAAACTCGGAGAAGTACCCTGGGCTGAGTTACTCTGATTATAGAATCCGTCAAGACAGCTGTGTCCAGACAAGCAGGAGAAAGTCTCGGATGTCATAGATACATCAGAGAGATTTGCTAATGAGGTGATGATGATCACTGCTCGGTCCCAGTTCCATCGCATGAAAGATTTTTGTTTTCCTCGTCTGTAGGACACCGGGGCAAAAGAGCTCAATCACCACCAGACTAACTGGTAGGTAGGGGCTCGACATCATCAAGAATATATGATGATTTACGTCCACTACGCAGAGAGCCGATCCATTTTGTTGACAATTGTAATTGATGGCCAAAGAGAGATAGATGGGCAGCATACACAATACAAAACAACGCTTTACTTATGGTGGCCGGTGCAATTCCACGACTCCCCCAACAGCAGAGCCGCTGGACTCTACTCTTGACACCTAGTTACCTCCCGCGAATGACGATTCGTTATCGGAACGGGACATGCCACAACATCAGGGACGCCCTTTCGTGCTTGCACAACCTAGAGGATGATTCGGAGGAGATTCCCTCAGACAAGCGAGGGAATGTATCTCAAGTCCCCATCCAAGTTGGCAGGCAATCGGATAAGAAGACTGGCGTATTTGTAACATCTGCTTCTGATATTGGCATAGCACTTTCGGACGAAATCAAAAACCAGTTGTGCTCGGAGCTGCCGCCGGACCCCGCCGTACGGAAGATCTTCCTAAGGTTGCTCAGGGCCGGTGAAGACTATCTGTTTAAAATAAAGGATGGTCTTTTTTTATTTCGCGGGCAGTCGACTCTGCGTTACGAGGGCGTTAGACAAGGACAATGATGTCACCACACACCCTGGCCTCCACTGGACGGAGGACAGCGCGTCCTGTCTGTCTTCTCTATTTAGGGATGTAACGCAAGCTCTCCAAAATATGTGTAATATCAGTCATATCTAGCATATTGTGCAAAATTGGTCGTCTGAGAGCAGTAAATGATAAACAGGATAAGGAGATCAAGGCTTTGGAGATAGGGAACAGGGATCTGATAGATTCTTTCTGTGAAGAATAGATGATTATACAATTATTATGACCTGCCAGTGACAGGGCGTCTTATGAGACTCTTCTGAGGTGTTTGCAATCTCAATGAATTAAGATACATGAACCTGCGCTAGGAAGAGAAATAAATAGCCACCGTTATTCAGGCTCAGGGGCACCTGGAGATGCCTTCAAAGCTATCGAAGCCAATAGAATTTCATCCTCGTTCAATTTTCACTCCGATCACCAAGGCCTCAACATCACATTCTTCCTCACTTCTATCATCAGTGTGTGAACAAACTAGAATTCTACTCTTCCCCCACTCCTTCAGCCTTCAATTTTAGAACCAACACCAACGCATGACCATCACCCACCCTCTGACAACCTCTCATCATGTTGCAAACGAGGTTTTTTCGTCAGCTTATGTTCGAGCAATTTGAAGCTCTAATGGGAATGCTTGGGTAATTCCGCGAACATATTCTCTTCCGAGCCCTTTGGAAGTAAAGTATTTCACTGAAATGGGTCAGAAGCCTTAATAAGGTAATGAGGATCAAACTCATAGAGATTTCAGATGAGCTGTCTACACTCACAGCTGTAAATATTGAGAAGGCTGAGCTGAAACTCAAGAAGAACATAAATAACAGACTAGAGAAAGAGAGAAGGAAGATATGATGTAGTCTGACCACAGAAGTACTTCTTTGAACAGACTCTTGACATGAATTGTTTATCAGAATTTAAGACACTCTATACCAAGCAAGTTCCAGGAATTAGAAGAGAAGAAGCCGGAAATTGAGAGATAAATAGCAAAACACTGCAAAAAAAATCAAAATCAAAATCAAAAACAAAAAAACAAAATATCCACATTTCTCTAGAATCATTCAATGATCATCAAACGCTCGCTTACGCTCGCTTTCCTGCTTGCGCAGCCCCCTCTACCACCACCACCACCACCTCTCCCTCTATCACTCTCTTCCACTCTGTATCACCTCTATCACCATTATCAGATTAATCAGAGCTGTACAGGCTGCAGAGCCAGATGTTCAATCCCATCCATGAATTCAAAGAGATGCACATGACATCACATGAGATCATGGTACAGAGCATTTAGCAGTGCATGAACACAGAGAAGAGTATAAGAAATGTAAATACTGTAGAGAATGTATGAAAAGAGCAGAATGAAAAAAAGAATGAAGATTTGAAGATGAAGATTGATCTGAGCTGTATGAGCTGGAGAGCAGAGCTGAGCATTCAAATATTTTGTGGGATGGTTAATCTTCTATTCATTATCAGAGGAGCTAGCTACATTATATTACATATGAGAGATCATGTGTAACTAGATGGAGCAATTGCTAGGACAATGCCACTGGTCGGGCTGGTTTTTCTATAATAAATAGAGAGAAGAGATAGTTGACTTTGAAAGCTGAAATAAACTTTATAATCTTATGCATCTGTTTCTCAGTAATTGACTAGAATAATCAGTATGCTTTTTAGAAGTAGTCATTTAAAGTTCACAGATGTATTGAATTTCTTAATAGATTATCTCAAAATAATTTGAATATCTTTTTATAGATTCATTCAAGACTGAAGAAGAAGAAGAATATCTTGATATTAATCACAGATTAATTGTTTTGAAGATATAGTAGAAGTTTTCAGAGATGCAAATAGAAGTTTCAAGAGTAGTAAGTAAATTCATCTTGATAGTAATAGAATGATAATGAGTATAGACATTTGTGTACAGGTATGAAGGGAATAAGAATGAGAAGCTTTCTATTTATATGGGGGGATGTTTGAGGACACACCCCCCCTGAAATGAAGGTTAGTATGCCACTAAAATATTAGGGGGTCCCTCATGAAAATAAAGGGGTATACCACAGTATACCACAGTATATCCTGATTCTTGTCTAATTGTCGATTTGGTAGTGAGCTTATTCCCCAGTTGGGCTGGATAATGGTTGACATAATGACTGTACCGGGCCATTTATTCAGTCAATCAACCAATTTCTGACCGAGTACGGGGGAGCTCTATCCTCAACATCCAGATCAGGACATGCGATGGCCGAATGGATATGTCTACTACCGCCAAGCGGGATGGCAGCCAAAGCTGCGGAACCCCAGGATAGCCAACTCCCGGCTGCATTTGACTATTCACTTGTGGAAGCGATGTGGATGCCGGAGGGAACTCCACGGAGCGAGCTCGTGATGGCAATGCGGGCAAGGGCCGTTTGCAAGTCCTGGTTCATGGCAATAATACACAACCACGCGAGGTCAAATTCCTTAAGCGTACAGGGAGTTCGAAATTTAAATATTGAGGATTGCCCCAGTTCCCCACGGCTTTGCTATTTCTGATATTCTGTCAAGCCACCCAGTTCCATTGTCTCGTCAGCGTTGGTATCAAAAATGCGGTCACTTCGTCCCTTCGCGGCCCTGACACTGGCCCTAGCCTTGACTGCTGTTGCCATTCCTTACAACACCTTCGATGGCTCCCCCGCTTGCAATGATGTCGTCGCAGTTCACAATCCCACCTGCGTCGACGAAATTCAACAACATGTACGGGATGCTATCAAAGCCGGACGAAAGGTCCGTGCTTCAGGTAAAGGACATATGTGGTATGATACTATGTGCTCTGATGACCCGGACACCGAAATTATCCGCACGGAGAATGTCAACAAAATCTACGACTTTGACTTGGAGGCTGGCACCGTCATCATAGAGGCCGGCGTGACCTTTGTCCAACTTGCAGAGTACCTTCATGGAAGAGGCGCATCGCCGGGATACACTCTTGTCAACTGGAATATCACTCTGACCGGCTGCGTCGCGATGGGTGCCCACCGTTCCTCTCTTAAGGAGGACTCCATGGTGGCTGCTGGTGTACTGTCTTTGGACATAATCGACGGAAACGGCGAGTTGCGACATATCGAGCGCGACGAAAACGACGATACCTGGCTGGCAGCATCTACTTCTCTGGGAGTGTTAGGCGTCATCGTCAGAATGAAGTTCAAGATTTACCCGGATTTCAAAGTATACGCTGATCAGAAGACGTAAGTTTTCCTACCATTGGCATTACTTAGGCAAACAATGACTCTAACGCACCAAAAGCTTGGATGAAGCTGAAGTTTTGAATGGAGACATTTATGGCATGATAAGCCCCTATCCAACAGCGAATTTCTGGGTAAGCCATCAATCAACCGTCGATGCCATACTCTCCATGCTGATATAGAGATATTTGCTAATTATGACTATGAGGAATACAGTGGTGGCCATACAAAAGGAAATTCCACTGGCGATACTACGATGTGGTGCCAACAGAAACCAGCCCACAGGAAGGTTTCCAGAACACTTTCTCTGTCACAAAATTCGAAGCAGATGCAGTTAGAGACCTGTGGGAGAACGGGAGGGTGCTACCCCTATCCAACAAGATCGCCGAGGAAATTCTTTTCGGCATCTGGTCCAAACCCAACTTCCGCGAAAAGACTACCAACAAAGACATCACGAAGTGGCCCGTCTACGGCTGGAACTACGACGTCTTGATCGGTGGACTGTACCCGGATCAGAAGCCAGCATGGGAATATGGCCTTCGCGGACATATCCTCGAACTCGCGTTCCCTATGACATATGCCAACGCCATGCTCAGGCGCGTTCGCGAGCTTTTCGACGCAGAGGCGGAGGACGGCGAACCGATGACTACCACATACCGCAGCGGCATCAATATCAAGTTCGGACGACCCTATTTTGATCTTCTCGGACAAGTCACGTATAACACGAGCGATGGTGCCGATTGGTCCAAGGGCGCTATCATGTTTGAATTCCCAAGCTACCGTCCCCAGGGTAACGGGAAGAGATACAACGAGCCATTTTGTAAGTTGATTCATAGATAGGCCTTTTTTGAAAAGCTTCATTTTAGGTTGATTTTGGCAGCTAACGCGGACATACTATCAATCTGCAGATGATTACCTTGCACACGTTCTCATTGAGGAATTCCCCTGCCGCCCGCACTGGACCAAGAATACAAGGGAGGTATTCAGGATGGCAGCGAGAAATATTGACCCCGACGTAAGTTTATCGGTCCATTTAAAAAAAAAAAAAAAAAAAAAAAAAAAAAAAAAAAAAGACATGAAAGCATTTTCGAAAACTAACAGTGGTATTAGCACATCGCGCGGTTCAAAGCCGTCAGGGAAAAATTTGATCCGAAGGGGATATTCCGCAGCGTTGTTGGAGAGTCGATTGGTGTTTATTAAATATTTCGGCATGTACATAAACTGATTTTTTTCTATGTTCATTTCGTGGCGAACACTTCTTCTATTTCTTTTTATACAGGATGGCCCTCGACAATTTACTAGTGACATCTAGTTAATGGCATGGCCTTCCTTATTCGAGTCATATAAATCTAATGAGATAATGTATAACTTACCAAAATAGAAACTAAGTTGGCTTACAAGCCGAGTAGATGTTACAGAGCACAGATATTGGACATATATCCAACCAAGCCAATGTGTAACATTTACTAGGGTAGGAAACGGGCATCCCATTCAGGGGGGAAAGAAAGCATATTTCCCCATCCTGCCCATTCGGCGAGAGAGATATTCGTGCTTGCTGATAAACCAAATATTACCGCACATTGATTGACGCAATGAAACAAGACAGAAGATTGATGGAGCAAAAGTAAAGGGATTTCTCTAAATTCGTTTTTTGGCGGTAATTAAGCGCCACTGGAGGAGAGAAGATGAAACGAAGTATGAAAAGAATAACATATCAGCCGAGAAGGAAAAGAGGAATAAGACGCGGGGAAATTTGCGCAAGGAAAACATTTAACTATGCGCCTGTGGGAGAGTAACAGCGGAAAAGGAAAAATAATAGTTAAGTTAACCCAATACCACCAAAGTAAAGTCAAGAAAGAGAATAAAAATAAAATAAGAAAAAATGAACACAAAATTTTATAACCCATTTCAGTTATGTTCGGTTTGGCCCTAAACCTTTCTTTTTTGTTTTCACCCTAGTAGAGGAGACAGAACAAGCAAGGAGAACAAGCGCACTGATATCAAGACACCCCTTACCGCTTGTCTATGCATCCATTTTTCAAACGATCACTTTTTCCATCGAGATTTCGTAACAACAACAACAGGATAGGGGTAAACAATTAGATAGATAGATATCTTGAAAAGACGTAAGTGAAAAATAGGAACAAGATAACCGTCACTCCATCAATCGTAGTTATCATTTCCCACCCACGCACACACTCACACGCCCATCCGCACAAGACAACGAAAAACTATGTTTATTTAAAGAAATAAACCCCTCCCAATGACAAAGAGGAAAATTAACATAAAAAAGGAATTCTCCGGATTTGCTCAACAACCACTACTGCTACCAAAGCCCTCTTTAATTAGTACGTGCGTGCCAGATTTCGCAAGTACCAATCTACCAGTCTCCTCCCCGCCTTTGCCTCACTAATGTGAATCAAGTTGCCCTCAATGGCATAGTCCAGGTCATTCGCATTGACAACCTCACCTTCCAACAACCCGCCATCCGACCACCGGATCTGTCGGCTGCGCTGCTTATTAACAAGCAACCACGAGCGCAGCTGCTGCGGCTCCACGTCCAAGAAGCCCGCTAGTTTCTTCAGATCCATCGTCGTGTAGAGTTTGAGATAGGACTTGACGGTGGGGTTATAAAGGGTGTTGCGGACCTCGTCCATGAAGATGGCCGTTTGGTGGTCGACTGGGTCAATGTTCATGCCTGGGTTGTCGAAGTCGGGTGGGGTGGGGCTGATGAATTTGGGGCAGGCGGAGCGGAAGAGCTCTTCGAAGAGCGGGAGCGCTTCGGGCCCGCCGTGCTGGAGGCGGATGAATTTCTCGCCGTATTTCTCGCGGAGGGCGGAGTGGATGGTGTCGTCGAGACGGGTGGGGTGGAAGGCGACGCAGATGGCGATCAGCGCGTACATCTGGTCGTTCTTCTTGGCAATGGCGTCGTAGCTGTTGCTGCCCTTCTGGAAGTTCTTGGTACGCGACACGTAGACGAGGATGTGGCTGAACATGCGGATGGCGTCGGCGTAACGGCGCATCATCATGTACGAGAAGCCGACGTAGTAGTATGTTGTGAAGTGGGCGGCCATGACGCGGGCAAACATGGCCTTTTTGTTCATCTCGATGTCATCAAGTGTCTTGAGCGCGAGGCTAAAGTCGCCAAGCAAGCAGTGGACGCGGAGCAGCCCGATGATGGAGAAATATCCCAACATTCTGTAGAGGGGCCGGTTCCCATACTCTCCAGCAACGGCTGTGGGGTCTTCGTTACGTTTGATAGCTGCAAGCTGTTCGTTGATTTGGGATCTTTGGATCAGTGAGTAGAGAACATTGAGAACAGAGTAGCATCCCCATGTGTTCGGGTTCTCCTTCAGGAGCTGTGCTTCTTCTTCACTTGATCCAGTGCGAGCAACGCGGTTTCGGTAGCGGCAAAACGACTCGAATTGATAGATGAATTCGTCAATCACATCCCACGCCCAGAAATACTATCCCATCACACCGGTCATATTAGCTTCAGCAAGCCAAAATGGAAATAAAAAAAAGAATTCGCGAAGGCCACACAAGTCCCGCAACGCAAACTCATAATCCAATCCACCCTTTCATTCCAACAAATAAGCTCCAAAAAAAAAAAGTCAAAACCTACAGTAGGAACATCCAAATCAACCGGCCCATCCGAATTCAATATATAATGAAACAGGCTACAATAGCTATCATAGCTCGCAAACTTCGTCTCCAGCGTCGCCTGGAATTCCAGCGGTGTGGCCGCCGCTACTAGCTGTGCCTGTATATCCTGCGTTTGCGATCCGGCACCCAGCGACGTCGTCCGGTCCAGCTCACTCATGCTATCGTCAAAATGCACCTGCTCGCGGTAGTCGTTGACAAGAGCTTCCTCTTCGACATCGGATTCATCGTGCAGGTTGGCGGTCCGCCCGGTTGTGCGGTTGCTGTCGTACGCCATGGCTTGGTGTGGACCCGTGGGCAAGGGAGTGGGGATCGGGGGGGTGTGCGGGCCGGTTAAAGAGCTCAAGAAGATGTTGGCGGTTAAGGTGGATGGTTGTGTGCTAAGCGGTCAGTGCCGGTTCTGTTGGTCGTCGGACGTTGAAATTGACGAATTTCGAGGTTTTTCACTTTTTCGCTTGCGGCTGCTTGGTGGTTTGTGCTTATCTTATCTTAGCGCAGATCTCGCATCTTGGTCACGTGTTAGTCGCAAGCGCGCGGCTGGAGAATGAGAACTCTTGGAACAACGTCAATTAAGTTTACGGATTGGACATGGTACAGCTTAAGGGCATTGGCAGTTTAGTATTAGTTGGGATAAGCCTCTTTCGATACGGTAGGGCCTAACTGTGTGCATTCAGTCGTTCGTCCGCCTCCACAAACACGAACAAAGGGCGAGGGAAACAAAGGCACAGATGCCTGAAGACATATCTTCAATGCTAAAATCGAATGAGATAGGAAAATACAAAGGCTCCAAAATTAGGGGAGTAAAATGCTACCATCGTGCTCCGACCTGATCCATTGACAAAGCAAAACACTGAAGCAGCCGAAAGATGGAGGAAAGGATGCAGGGTATCAATGGAGGGCTTGAACAAATACGGATTTGTAAAACGAATTTCAGCGAACATGCTATCCGTGAACTGTCTTAAAAATGCACAGCATTTATCAAATGCACTGTAGGGGTCAAATGTAAATAGAAGACGAATGAGAAAAAGAAAGAAAGAAAAATAATAATCATAATAAAGGAGCAAATAATCATAAACCCATGCCTTGGGGTGTACCATTCCACGAACCGAAAGATGTGATTGTCGAATTAATGCGAATAGTATCGATGAGGACAACTGTCGACCGATTGTTCGTTTTCCAGCCATAAAGCTAGTAAATAGCGTTTTCGTTGGATAAGAAGAGAAGTAACTAAACTGCAATGCTGGAGTTGGCCCAGCTTAGGTTGCCACCGAGAGAGGTACTACTCGTCAGTTCATCTTCGCCCTCGGAGTCGTTAGCCCCGTCCATGTTCAGCATCTGAAAACGGTTGGTCATTGGAGCTGGTTTCCTAGCTGGAGGTTGTGGCGCAACTTTCTTCGGCACATACTGCACCTTCGGCAACGGGTCAGCACATTCATCCGGGTAGTACTCAATTTTCATGCCCTTGTACGCCAAACGAGACATCATGCAAGTTCGTGCAAACAAGGCATTGTGTACTGAGTTAGTCGAGATATATGCATTCCCCTTATCAAAAGTGATATCGATCACTACCAGGTTATGGATATGTTCCAAGTCATCACGAATCTTGGATTCTGTCAGATTGGGGTGCACTGAACGGATTATCAGGTTACGTGAAGCTCCATTCGCCAGCTTGCCGGCAACAAGGCCAGGAAGGTAAAATTGGCGTTCATTCCAAGTGACCTCAATCTATTAGTTGAGCAGTCAGTACGCATCTAGAGAGACTATCTATAGTGTACCGGTGGGTCTCACCAGCTTATCAAGAATATAAAGGTCCTGGCGTTTAGTAAAGGCCAAAAATTCTTGGGCAGATTTACCCTCAGCAAAAGAGACGCTTGCCTGACGCTCTCTGGGTCGTAGGAAAACATCAACCAGCGCGCCACCCCGAATCGCGGCAACAATATCGCGGTGAGTTGCACGCTCGGGGAGACCTTTCAGAAGGAGAGTACGGTTTTCCGTACAATTTGAAGGCTGCTGGCGGTCTTGCCTAGACTGGATGTTGCCAAGATGTACTCCATCATCCCTTTCGTCGCTCGGGAAGGATGTCACATCATTTTCGAGGCTCGATCGACGTCCATTGCTGTTAGTATGAACCCTTAGAGCCCTGTCCGCAGAATTCCGAGGCCAACTGTCATTAGGGGTAGTATTCTTGCTAATCGGATCATTCGAGATGGAGTGTAAAGGATGGCGTGGGAGATGTCCAATCTCAGTTGGGGCTTTGCTGCCCATGGTACTGTCGAATGACTCCCCTTGGTCCTCCAAATTTCCAGGGCCGCTTATCAAAGTCTAATAACTCAGTAAGCGGTATGACCTTGCGCAGTGGCACTCAAGTTCCTCACTTCAAGAGCTTCCTCGGTTACACCTCCTTCGTACAGAGCCTGCTTCAAATTATCTAACAATAGGAAGCTGGTTAGATGCGGTTATGCGGAGAATGCGCAGAATACGCAAGGTGCAAGTTCGAAAGAGTTTGAGATAGGCACAGGGGAGATACCATATTCGCGGGATCTACGAAGCTTCAACATGCGTTAGCAATATATAATCACAAGGTTGAGAAGCAAACAAACTCACAAGAAGGTCGTGCTCCGATTTCGGGATGGTAACCGTCATAACGTTCGAAGAAGCATCAAAATCGGTAGACGAGCTATGCTATAGATCCACGAAGCACGAGTTCCTGTCAGGTCCTCTCCTCACATGGCACTGGACGAACTACATCAATGTCGTGAATACGGATACTTACCAACTCCGCCCTGGAATTCAGTTATAGCTCCATTAGCGTTCCGTATATTTAATCACCAACAAGCACATAAAAAAAAGGAAGGTTCTGAATCTGGAAAGCGTATGGACGGCGCCTGTGATGAAGACACTCCGGAGGCTTGACCAGGGGGAATCGAGGCGCAATTGAGCAGCATTCGAGGGGAAATTAGGC